AACAACAACAACAAAGTTTTCTCTTGAAATTTAGTCCTATTTAAATCTGACAACATCTTACTGAATACACCATGCCCAATTCTCTTTCCTGAGGGGAGGACTACTAAGGGAGGGAGTGCTCTGACTTAACTATTTTTGCCCTTCTGTCCCATGCCATGGCCCATCTTGCTTAGCTTTGGGGGGATCAGCCAAGGTCAGGTTCATGCTGCTACCTGCTGAGGCAACGTGGTGAGATCTATATTAATCTGGATGGTTTCTACCCTCACTCTTTTGATTGATAGGTTCCAGAATCTTCCACAAGTGATGCTCTTCTCCCTGGCGGTGATGCTGCTACAGACTGGGAGTAGCTATGGCAGCCTCCCTTTCTACAATGGCTTCTACTATGACCGAGTCATGAACGATAAAGGAGATGGAGAAGGTAGTGTTTGGACAGGGAAATTAGTACCTGGCCTGATGGGTAGAGAAAATAATTAACTAGTTGATTTGCTTTAAAAATCCATAGAAAAATCAGGACTCCAAAGTGAGAATATTAGAGTTTACAGGAGGGAAATAAAAACTTTGGTTGAACTTTCACGGTTTTCCATTTAACTTTGATTTGATTTATAGACAACTAGGTTGGAGAACTGTTTGACCTAACAAGAAATGTGCACATTTTACACCATGGCAGTTGTTTGCAAATTACATTAAATTGTAAAAATGGCTCTGCTAATGGCTCAGTCCAAGGTCCTTCTTAGTCCAGCCTTTTGTTTGCCTTTAGGGTGTTTGCAAACAGGAGCTGGAGACACACTCTCTGCCATTGTTGTTCCCCTGAAACTGGTATTTTGAGGTGTGTTGCCTGACATCTGACCTTTGTTTCTTCTTTTCTCAGTTCTGTTCAATGGTGTTCGACTGATGGTTGAGACATCTGATGATGCCATCTTTACCCACCGTGGTGCCAATGTTACGCTGCCCTGCCGTTATCACTACGCACCTAAACTGGATGCCCCACGCAGGATCCGCATCAAGTGGTCCAAGCTGCGGGAGGACAACACTAAAGAGCGAGATGTGTTGGTGGCATCTGGGCGAAAGCACCGTATCTTTGGCGAGTTCCGTGGACGGACTCATCTGCAGCAGGAGGCTGCTGATGAAGCATCCCTGGTGATCAATGACTTGCGCTTACACGATGCTGGGAAGTACCGTTGTGAAGTCATTGATGGTCTGGAAGATGAGAGTGGGACTGTGGATCTAGAACTTCAAGGTGAGTAGGATGTCACTGTTGTGACTAAACAAGTGAGGTGTAATGAAGTGGTTAAGAAGTTGGTCTTGAACCGGGGAGACCCAACTGACCACAGAGCTCCTGGATGAGGTTGAGAGACAGACACCTTTTCTCTCACTGGGTTGTTGTAGGGATAAAATGGAGGGCAATCCCTGTGTATGTGGTCTTCAGCCTTCAGGGTATAAGTTGGGATACAGATGCAAAAATAAATGGAAAAAGTACAACAAAGCCATAGAACTAGATGCCCCAAGATGCATTAGGGTAACATTGCACAAAGATGGATAAATTCTTGAAAAAAATATTAAAGGATATAATATATGGGAAAGCTATGTACACTAGACAAAACTGCAAGGAGAAATGTATATTATTTGAGAAAGAGGTGCAAAAATGCATACAAATTTGTGTAAGGTTTTTAAAAGTTAGTATGCATATGGAATGAAGTTATGAATGCAAAAATGAGACATTTGAAGTGATGGATTTTGACTAGCAAGAAGGTATTTTGCTATTTTATTTAGAAGCTTAGTAAGATCAGCAGAACTGGGTGGGTGGACGGACGGACGGACGGACAGACAGACAGACAGACAATATTTATTTTGCTTTGTGAACAGATAACACCAGAACTAGAGTTTCTTCCTCTTTCTGGCCACCAGATGTCACCAGCAGTCTGTCATTTTTTTTCAAACTTAACTTCCCAATGGACTAACTCTGAATCCAAAGATAAAATGCTACATAAGAATAAAATTGGTATCATTTTGACATAAGCAGCCTATTGTGTGATTGTTTTGACATAATCCAGATCCTACATTTGCAAAGTGGGCTGAGAGAAGATATGTGGCCTGCAATCTGAAGATATTTTTAAAAACCAGGTAACATTTGGCTGTCTGGTTGTTGCTGAATCAAAATGTCCAGCTGCTCCCTTCAGTATGGCTAGTGGTGAGGGATGCTAATGTTCTGGTTTAACAGGGTCTAGATGGCCACAGGTTGCCCACCTCTGTTTTACACGATCTTTTCCCAAACTAAGATCATTTAAGTTGGGTTTGATTCACTTCTCCAATTCCAGAGATCAATGTGGCCCTCCACTTTTTTGATTTGAATGTTGGATTATCCAGTACCAAATGCACACACATTCAGTGGTCTTTCCATTTATATTCATTCACTTTTCCCAATTCAGGAGTGGTCTTTCCTTATCAGCCTCCCCATGGACGCTATAAGCTTAACTTCCACGAAGCCAAGAAGAGCTGTGAAGATCAGGATGCGGTCATAGCCTCCTTTGACCAGCTCTTCAAGTCCTGGATGGAAGGCTTAGACTGGTGCAATGCTGGCTGGCTGATTGATGGCACAGTCCAGTACCCCATCACATTACCTCGGGAACCCTGTGGTGGGAATCACTTAGAACCTGGTATCAGAAGCTATGGAGAACGTCATAAGAACCTCCATCATTTTGATGTCTTTTGTTTCTCTTCTGCTCTGAAAGGTGAGTGCTGTTATCTTTGGGGCAGTGACTATTTTTAGAGGCAGGTGTGTTGAGAAAGAGGTAGCAGACTAGGGATCTTTTCTCTTTCTGGACTATGACTGATGTCCATGTTCTGATAGCATCTGGGATTGGCTACTAGTCTGTCCTGTACACAGGTCTGCCTTTGAAGGTGGCTTGGAAACTGCAGTTAATTCAAATGAAAGTACCAGATGACTAGACTATGGACTGGACCAGTTGATGGGAACATAGGGAGCTACTCTGGGGGCTACCTTCAAAGGCAGACCATTGATCCGTTGTAGGCAGGAGTCTGTCTTAGCTAAAGAGGTAAGGGATGGAATCTGATATCTTTTTCATTAAAAATGTTCTTCCATTGGGTTGTGTTTTGTAGCTCAACCTAAGAGAGGCTTCACTTTCAGATACATATATAAGGGACTTTTTCTAACACAGGAGCTAAGCTTTGAAACCGCCTCCACAGGGAGGGGGCTGGTTCCCTCTCTTTAAAACTTTGAATAAGCCACCCTTTTTACATATTTTGTCTGGCTTTTAGTTTGGGTTGAAATCAATCTCCACTACAATTTTGCTTTTATCTCATTCTGGTGGTACCTTAATCTTCCATTACATAGTGAGTGCCCTTGATATTGTTGGACAACAATTCCCAACCTCTCCAGCCAATATTCTGTTTAAAGCTGTCATCTTATACAGATAAGAGGACACTCTTTTACAGTGATGCAACTTGCTTATCACTCTAAACTTTGGGTTAATGCAATGTAGGAACTCATCCAATGCGTCTTACAAACCATTGTTTATGGTTTAGCATTATGTGTCATCTGTGCCCCTCTGGCTTGTTTAACAAAACATAAACTATGTTAGCCAACATTTGGCTCTTTTGATTATAATAAACTTAACTGATGAATTAGCACGGTATGCAAACCTAGCCAGTTGCAATACATTCATTCTCTTTCTTTTTCGCAATGCTGACTTGTTTTTATATTTGATTTAAAAAAATATATAAGTATCAGTAAAATATTCTTTGCCCACCTGAATAGGGACTGTCTACTATCTGGATCACAATCAGAAGTTCACCTTAGAAGAAGCCAAGCAAGCATGCCAGGATGACCAGGGTGAAATTGCCAAGGTGGGTCAGCTCTATTCAGCATGGAAGTTCCTGGACTTGGACCGTTGTGATGCTGGGTGGCTGGCTGATGGCAGTGTGCGCTACCCCATCGCTTCTCCCCGACCCAACTGTGGCCCACCAGAACCAGGGGTCCGAAGCTTTGGCTTTCCCCAAACTGGGAAATTTGGAGTCTACTGTTACAAGATGAGCTAAGGAAAAGCTTCCTTCATCAGTGGACAGTGTCCTTTTTATCACCACCTAGAGTTTATTATTTAAAGGGCCAGTCTCTGGGGGTCTGTTTTAACTGTATGTTTTCAAGTTTGTGTTTTCTTCTGTGGGTTTTTTTTTTTTTTTTAAAAACTTTTTGTAATGAAACAGAAAATGCTGCACAAGCTGTGAGGTGGAAATTGAGTTGCCTTAGTACTGATCCTATGAGCTTCCAGCTTTGTTGCCCATTTAATCATGTGGTTGGAAAACCTGAGCTTAACTTGGGATGGTGCATGTACATGGGAGAAGAGTTGGTTTGCTCATCTGATTATGATGTCTTCTGGAATGGGCTCCTGCCAACATCTGTCAATGGGATTAGGAAGCCATCTGAAGTACCAGTTAGGCAGCTGTTATAAGAACTGTCTTGAGAAAGGAATTCCTGGTCCAGTGTGACATTCCCAACTCTTAGTAGCATATGATCTCATCTTAAGTGATCCAATATTTGCAACGTTCAAAGTGAACTGGCTATTTTAATATCTCAGGACACTGTATGGTAAGTGACTACATTATTACTTAATAGGCATTGAAGGATCAGAAATAAGGTTTGTTTGCCTTCTGGCTTGTTGGCAAGAATCTCAGGGCAAAAGGAGATGCAGAAGGGGCTGTTTCTCAGTATCCTTTCTCCTGTTCTTCAGGTTGTCAACATGAACTGGGGAAAATATAATTCCTTCTGTTTAACGCTGAACTGGACCTATATGTTTATTGGGTAGTGCCTGTGATGTCACCAATTCATCTCCTCCTCCCATCTTTTTGTAAAGTGAAGAAAGTGGAATGACTGGGCTCATACAATAGGCTATGCTATCTTGTATTTCTTTGGTTTTGGCATAGATCATTGTGCAAACCCAGCCATTTGTAAACCATAGTTAAACTATGGCTTCGAGTAATGCATGAATCCAAGTTTCTATCTTTGCACACACATACACATAGACCTCTTCCAAATTTGATTTTAAGAATTAGGCCACTTTGAGGAGAAGACAAGAATCAGCGCTCTTGTTATTTGCAGTCCAATGTTCAGCTTGCTGTAAAGGATGGGCAAATCTGGGCCTGGATGGACACATCTCACTAAGCCGTCTTGTCTTGTTTTGTCACTTTTCATATGCAGAACAAGCAAAACTCTGTTAGGACACTGCAACCAAACCATTGTTTTGGGAAGCTTTTGCTTCTGTACCTTTTGTATTGTCAAAGGTGTCTTGAACATTGTTTTGTGGTGTTTAAAGATGGGGTGTCTGGGATGTCTGCTAATAAAACTTTGAAGGAAACCACACAAAGAAATAACGTGGATATCAGTGCCTTGTTCCATCTTGATTGCAGAAGCTGTCCAACAACCAACCCTAAACGGTTCCAGAAGCCCTTTTTCTACCAGATTCCACAGAACAGAAATAGCATTGAGGTGGTCGTGAGATACCAAGCTTAACCTGAGCCTTTTGGAGCAGAATGGAAAGAAAGTGTTGAAAAGTGAGATGCTTTGGACAGGAGGTGGGAAGGAAATGTGGGGGTGTGGAGGGGCCAAAGGAAAGACTGGGAGGCTGATGGAAGGAGCTTTGAATGAGCTGCATTCATAGGGGCACCAATGACTAATGAAAGGTCTCTGCTGTTTACAGCACAGATTGAAATGCTCTGCTTAAATATTGAAATCAAATTAAACACCCTCTTTATGTAGAGAGTCTAAATCATTTGCAGAGGTCGCTTCGCTCTTCTCACCGTTAAAGTCAGCCTAAGACTGCAGGAGGACATGATCGTGTTTAAGCCCAAATGATGTTGACCCCTTGCTTTCTTGTTTCAGAACAGAGGACCTATTAGAGAATTGTACCTTTGTCTCTTTCCTCTTACTTTTCTGCTTGCTTGCTTGCTTTGGTCATAATGCCCCAACTACCTTCTCCCCACTCACTGCCATGGCATGCTTTACATTTACTTCCCCAGTTTCACTTGGCTACTGACACACTTGCGATTTCAGGAATATAAAATGGAGTTTGATTTCTACCACCATGCTGTTAAATGGAAAATACATTGATTTGGGAATAAGAACCATGTAACCATAAGGACAAGCACAATTGGACGAGCATTTCTAAATGTCTACAAACAACCCACTAAAGGGGTACAAAGTATAAAAAGGTGTACAAAACAAGAGGATGCTGCAGCAAGCAATGCCAACTCATCAAGACTGATGCTAGGTGTATCTTTTGAAGGCCCTGTCACCACCTCCTCCATGTGGATCCTCTGGGCTATGGGGTCTTAGCTGTCATCTCCTTTTGGACATGACTGAGCAGGGCAGTTGACTTGTACTAGAGCACCCACAAGTGGTGCACCCAAATGGTCAAGTACACTCATGCACCCAGGTGCACCCACCCACCCACAGTGCATGCAAATAGCACCTCAGCCAGGATAAATTACAACAACTTTTATTGTACAGGATTCACCATAGCACTGACAGCAATAGGCGTGGCTCTTTTTCATTCAAGAGTTGCTTTACGTGCACAGAGCTTTCCAGAAAAGAAAAAAAATTCTGGGGCTCTTTTCCTTGATGGATTTTTTTTTTTTTGGCAAAATAAAAAGCTCTTACTGGTTTTGTTCCCCAGTCCCATCCTTCCCTTGCCCCAGTTTCTCCTTCCCCATTGGATATATAGCACATACCCAAAGCTGGGCTCCTACCAGCATCTCAGAGACATTGGCAAGTCCATTTAAGTTATTGTAAAAATGACTCCTTGGTTTCCTCTCTGTTTTCAATTAT